TTCTTATTATAAACCCTAATATTGGGATTTATAGGGACCCTGCAAAAAAGTAGGTTTTGGGTTCTTAAGGTATACCTTAGATCCTACTTGGGAGCCTACCATAACTTAAAGTACGTGTTTGTAGCAGAACCACGTAAGGTCTATTCCCTCATTTGAAGGTCGTTGGAGGATCTGGGAAATGGGGGTTTCCGAAAATAGGGGACCCTAAGATAGTACCCTAAATGGTAGGATCCTTATTATAAGGAACCCCCAAAATAAGGTATATACCCCGTATTTTCGGACACTCCCAAATTGCCTGAACCCGAAACCCTAAACCCTAAACCCTAAACCGAGACCCGCGCAGCCACCTCAAGGGCGGCAGAGGCAAATCTGCAGCGATGGCGGCCGCGAGGCCCTGCTTGAAACATGGCTGCCGATGCTGTGGTCGGGGCCTGAATAACTAGGTTTAGGGCTTGGGGTTTAGGGTTTAGGGTTTAGGCTTTAGGGTTTAGGGTTTAGGGTTCAGGGTTCAGGGTTTAGGAATTAGGGTGTAGATTAGACTAGGGTTGTGGGGTGTCCTGTGTTAAGAGGTGAACAGAAACAATAAGAGGATACACGTGTGCACCTGCGCTCATAGACCATGTTTTCCTCCGTAGCTGGCGTTTCATCGCTTTCCTATCTGCTCGTAGTCCCCTTCTTCTTTGGCACTATCCCAGCTTTCGCAGCTCTGCCGGGGGCTCACCCGACTTACTCTACTAGCCTGAATAACTACCTGACTTGTTACCTACGGTTCCTTTTGACAACAATACTACAATGAGCCCAAGGACCCTATTCTAATTATCAGGGCCCACATGTTACTCCTGGCGGTTCCTTGTTCCAACAACATCACAGTATGCCCTAACTGTTCGTTGTCCAGCACACTCCAACGAACATGCTCTGTGGTGCCGGTGGGCGACCTCCCCACAGGGCGGCGTAACCTCGAGCGAAATCGACATCCTTAATGCTCGTTCAGCGTCTCTGGGTTTAGGGGTTAGGGTTTGGGGTTTAGGGTTTAGGGTTTAGGGTTTAGGGTTTAGGGGCGTAACTGGGACAAGAACCTCCGGGTTGTCCTCGCGCTTGCCAATCATTGTTGCCAAGTCCAACAAACGGCATCGTCAGGAGGTCTTGTACGCGCTCGCCCCTCAGCAACACTTCCATGGCGGCCCCAGTGGCATACTGCAGCACGGCAGGCAGTCGCAATTTGTCCGTCGGTGAAGCGCGGCTGCGTGAACAAAGCATGTGTGAAAGTCACAGGATCTTCCTCGACCGCGTAAGTACCGTCTTAGGACCTTAGAGATAACGCTACAAAACTGTGAAGTCCAAGCAAGTTCGTCTCGAGGGCTTTGCGAGTTGGAGATCGGAGGCCCCTATATCATGTGCGGGTCCCTCATCTTGACATGGGCGTTTGAGACCCTCTCTCGCCTGCACGCCCAGTTTGAGGGTTTAGGGTTTAGGGTTTAGGGTACCCCTTGCCTCCACTCAGCCCCGTCTCCTGCCACGCAGACTTTTCGAAAGCCGCAAAGTGAAACAAAAGGCTCGGTTCGCACAACGCCTAGGCTTACAACTCCGTGACAACATGGAACCTGAAACCCCTTCCTGCCTTAAGGGTCTACACCCTAAACCTCCGTAAACCCTAAACCCTAAACCCTAAATCCTAAACCCTAAACCCTAAACCTCGTACCGACTCCATGTGAGCTAAGGGGATCCGCAGCGTCAACGTTTGCTTTCGCGTCTGCAAGGTTGGGAGCTTGGGGTTTAGGGCTTCATGGCTTTGGGGTTTAGGTTTCGGGTTTGGGGTTTGGGGTTTAGGGTTCAGGGTTCAGGGTTTAGGGCTTAGGGTTTAGGGTTTAGGGTTTAGGGTTTAGGGTTTAGGGTTTAGGGTTTAAGGTTTAAGTAGGATCTGGGGTTTTAGGGTTTAGTGCTTAGGTTTGAAGGACACTCCAAACCCTAAACCCTAAACCCTAACCCCCAATCGCCCGGAACCCAAACCCAGGTCCTGACATTCTCACCGCGATATAAGGGCCTACACTGACCCTCACACGAACCCTCAAAGGGATCCTGTAAAGGAACACCCTTTAAAGTGACCCTTTAAAGGAACCCTCGAAGGAGGCCCGAAAGGAACCCTTATTGCCCCTCAACCGTAAACCCCCAAAGGAACCCTTTCATGGAACTCGAAAGGCTTGAAACCCCTAAAACAAAAAAACGCTAAAGGAACCCGAAAAACCTTGAACCCGTAAACCCGAAATATCCTAAACCCTTAAAGGAACCCTTCAAAGGAACCCGAAATACCCTAAACCCTTCAAGAAACCCGTTTGCATCCCTCAGCCCAAGCCCCACCGGCTGAAAAACTCGGAACCAACGGGTGCCTCGATAGGCACCAGCTGGCCCCTGGCCTGGCCATCATCCAGAAGGAGCCTCGAAACTGCTCGGTGAAGAGTTTAGGGTTTAGGGTTTCTTTAAAGTTGGGTTTAGGGTTTAGGGTTTAGGGAACCCTAAACCCTATGTAGACCCTAAACCCTAAACCCTAAACCCTAGCCGGGCTACAGAGCTGAGGGTTTACGGGTTTGGGCTTCGGGGTGTGGGTTTTGCGTTGGGGTTGAAGGGCTTTTGGCCGAGTTGAAGGGAGTTTTACTTGTTCGAGGTTAGGCTTTAGGAGTCTAGGATTGTGCGACGGATTGCCATTGTTATTGCTTTCGGGATTGACGAGCCTGCGATTCTTGAATTCTTTCTGGGTATTTTGAAGCTTTAGGACTACGGGCCACGGGGTTTGAGAGGAACTTTGTGCAGTGGCTTGGTGGGATGATCTACGTGGGGGTTTGTGGCTTCAGAAGAGTCCGGATTTGGCGGTTTGAGAGGTCAGGCCTCTGTACAGTTGATGATATAAATCCTGCATTACCCATAATAAGGAATATACCATAATTGGGTCCTTATGGGAATGCGGGATTTATATCATCAAGAGTATGGTTTAGAGTTTTGAGCGTAACTCACTGCCCTCCGGGCTTTTGGGGTCTCGAGGGCATTGTCTGTGTGTGCTGCGGCAGGGAGCGTGGCTGAGACCTGCAGCTGGAATCCTAACCCCACCCCTAAACCCTAAACCCCAACCCCTAGACCCTAAACCCTAAAACCCTAAACCCTGACCCCAAACCCCTAGACCCTAAACCCTAAAACCCTAAACCCTAAACCCCTAACCCCTAGACCCGAACCCCGAACCCCTAAATAACCCTAAACCTGAACCCAGACCCCTTGAAGGTTTGGGGTATCTTGGGGTCAAGCAGGACTTTCGCGCTGATCGTTTGGAGGGTCTCAGGGTTTCAAGCTTGGGGGCTGTAGAACTGCGGCCTTAACCCCAAACCGTAAACCCTACTTAGAGGCCCAGGGGACTTAGTATTTTGGTTATAAGTAGGGTTATACGTGGGGTAACTCCATTTAGGGCACTCATAACTCTACCTATAACCTACTTACTAAGTCCCCTGGGCCTCCAAGTAGACCCTAAACCCTAAACCCTACAATCCAGACCTTAAGCCCTACGCCTTCAAACCCGACCCGGAACCCCAAACTCAAGACCCGTAGTTAACCCCATGTGACCTTCTCCTGGCATCTTGCTGGCGTTCCAAAATTTGCGGCTTCTCTGCAGTTCAGGGGTTTAGGGTTTAGGGTTTAGCTTGAAGGACTTCTCCGACCAGAACCTTGCTTCCGCTTCGAGTCCTCGCTGTCTCGCTCGCTCTCTGCCTCTCTCCCTAAACCCTAAACCCCTAAACCCCTAAACCCCTAAAACCCTAAAACCCTTCAAACCCTAAACACCTAAACCCTAAACTCTCTCTATGCCCTAAACCCCTAGCCCTAGACTCCTCTCTCTCTCACTCACATTTTCTGGTTTACTCTGGCGACTTGGCGGAGTCAGCGCGACCGCTTCCCCTGCCGGGAAGGAGCGGAGTTAACGTAGGGGCCTTAACAATCAGAATAGGGCTTTGGGGGTATATTATACTATAGTTCTAATAAGATATCCCCAACTATAAGACTAACAAGATACCCCTAAACCCTAAACCCTAAACCCTAAACCCTAAACCCTAAACCCTAATAGTATAGGTAACTATTAAGGCCCCAAAATTACACTGGAGGCAAACACCTTGGTGGTGGGCCAGGCTTCCAGCCACCCGAGTCTGAAAGTTGCCGGCTCGGGTTTCATGGCAAATGGCGCCTATCCCCCATTGCTTGTGACGGGGTAGATCTGGGTTTAGGGTTTAGGGTCTAGGGAGTTGAGGGTTTAGGGTTTAGGGTTTAGGGTTTTGGGTTTAGGGTTTAGGGTTTAGGGTTTAGGGCTTGGGTGGAACGAATCTGGAACGAAAGGCCAATTAGGCCTGTGTCGACGGAAGGCCTTTGCTCCCCTCGCCAAAAAGAGACGAGCTAAAGGGTAGTTTTCTAAATCAGGGTCCCTTTGGGGTCCTGTTTTAAGGGTGCCGTACCAAAATTGGGGAACTAAAAAGGAACCCTAGTCTAGAGAGCTACCCACAAGCGCCCGGTCATCTTCCTGGCATTTCGTACTTTGCAGTCGCATGCCAGGGGCCAGAGCACCGAACAAATCCATCCGCCTTGTGACTACGATTTTCTGTAATTAATCCCCTTGATTATTCTTCCCAGCTTAAAAAATTGCCTTCGGCTCCGATTGTCGTTGCACTGCCACAGCTCACGCAGCTACCACTCCCACCGCACTGCACGCAGCAGTCTCCAAGCGCTTTGTTTCCAGCCCACCAACTTTCCATGGAAGCTTCGCCCAAACATCTTGGAAAGTTTTCCCCGTACCTCGCAGGCGCTGTTCGCTGAGCTCCCGCAACTCTCCAGCAAGAGCCCGAACGGCATGTTCGTGCGACCGTGCCGGCACCATAAGGAAGACTTCTGTCGCAAATCCCACCACAGCGTCCCTAGGGCTCTTATACCGCCTCTCATACTCTGGACATGTCGTCGGCGGGCCCTCCACCGAAATGGCCAGATCTTGCATCTTCAACAACGCGGCCTCTGTAAAGTCGATCCAGAGCATGTCATTGCTGGATGGTGACTGAAGCACCTTAAGGGGCCGAAAAAAAAGCACAGAAGCAACAATTAGGACAGGGATATCCCATGTAAACCCTTGTGCTTCTGTTATTTTGGGTCCCTAACACCTGGACATCAACCCCGGCCACGCCGGCTTCCAGGATGCGCACGGCAGTTGCCATGAACCTTTCCATGCGATCTTTCTCCTGCGACTCCAGCATCTTTGGGACGCCGCGGCCGTTCTTTACCTAGGTTCTCCAGTAACTCCTTAATAATAAGGGTGCCCTTTTTCCTACTATTTGGTTTCAATAAGGAGACCCCAAACCAAAAAGGGCAAAAGGGTACAACTGGGGAACCTAGTTACGGAGATGTTACGACCCGGAAGGCAAGGCATCAACACCATGCCTTGACGAGGGCCAGCAGTAGTCCTCACCTCGCCAAACCCGATGCAGCGCTCAACGTTTGGAACCTTGGCATCATTCAAGATCTGCAGGACTCTCCGCTCGTGCTCAAAGCTGTGCATGGCGTAGTCGGTGTTGGCTCGACTGAGTTTTACAACAGCCTGTCTGTTTGAGGCCGTGTCGGCCGAGAACACTTCTGCCTGCACACCGCCCCCCAAGTACGTCGGATTTCGGAGAGGGGTGGTGCCACAGGAGAAGCTGTTCAGCAAGAGGTTCCGGTCTCCTGGCACCTGTGCTCGCACGCGAGAGCGCAAAGATCCCACTGTGAAGATGGCCGCTACCGTAGAGATGCCGAGGAATTGCAGGAACTCGGCCCTACCAAGGCTCGATGTCTCGGATGTCTTGGGCGATGACTGGTAGACCATTCTAGAAACTTTCAGCGAAGGTGGGCCATTCGGCCTTCCGGGCACAAAGTTGCTAACGCCCACTCGCGGTGTGCCGGCGCTGTCGAGCGGAGCCATGAAACGGAAGGGTCTGATGGCATTGAAAAAAGCGGGAACCCGCGTTAAAGCGTCTTCATAGGAACTGAACTTGAGCCCGACAGGGTCGAAAGCTCATCCAACTGGATATATGTATATGTATGTATGGATGTATGTGTGTATATATATATATATACATATAAATAAATATATATATATATATACATATATATATATATATGCATATATATGTATATACACAGACATACATCTGCGTATGTGATACATCTATATACCTATATCTATATCTATATCCGCATCTATACCTATATCTATCTATCTACCGACCCACCTACCTACCCACCTACCTACCTACCTACCTATCCATCCATCCATCCATTCATCTATCCATCCATCTATCTATCTAGCTATCTATCTGTATACATAAATATATTGGTCTACATGTATATATATATATATGTATTAGTGAAGACAAAAGTTAATATGTATATATATATATATATATAGGTAACAAAACTTATACATATATATATATATGTGTGTGTGTGCAGATATATATATATATATGTGTGTATATATATATATATGTATATATATATATGTATATATATATATATGTATATGTATATATATATATACAGATGTGCATATCTATATATATATATACATATATATATATATGTACATACATATATATATATATATATACTGTTCATATACACTATAAACTACAGCAACACGAAACATCCCAAAATGCACAAAGCCTCGCCTTTCGCTGGGCAGAGGCAATGCCAACGATGTGCCCGCAGCCGGGGAAGCGGGCAGGTGACAAGCCTTGCGCCGGTTTAGGGTTTAGGGTTCCGGGCGACGAGTTTTGGGGTTGTTGTTTGGAGAAGATATGCAGTGTTTATGGAGTGTCCCCGTAATTCCCCTCACACCCAAAAGACCATATAACACCCTATGAAAATCCTGTCATACATGCCCAAAAACCAAACACCCCAAAACCATAAACCCTAGACTCTAAACCCATAAACCCTAAACCCTAAAAACTCTAGGAGCTCCGGTAAAGCCCTCTAAGATCCTACAAAGCCCATCCTTGCACCCCCACAACTGTGGCCCTCCTTTTCCGCTGCTTCTCTGGGGAGGCGATGGCCTCCGACGCCGCTCGGGTGAAACCGAGCCGGCTCTTTTCCTTCGGGTACGCAGAAGTTTTGGGGTTTAGGGTTTAGAGGATTAGGGGTTTAGGGTTTAGGGGTTTAGCGGTTTAGGTTTAGTGGTTTAGGGTTGAGGGGTTTAGGTTTAGGGGTTTAGGGGTTTAGGGATTTAGGGGTTTAGGGGTTTAGGGGTTTAGGGGTTTAGGGGTTTAGGGGTTTAGAGATTTAGGGGTTTAGGGGTTTAGGGCTTAGGGCGTTCTGGGTTTAGCGCTTCGGGTTCCTTGAAGTTCCCTAAGTTTGCAGAAATTGGTATATAAGGGTTTCTCGACAGGGCGCCGTTAAAGGCTCCTGTAGAGGGCTCCTGGTTTTTTCAAGCGAGTTCCTTCGGAACGTAGACAAAGTTTTGCTACTGGTGGCCCGGGATGTGTTACGGCTTTGTATAAGTTCTCCAGATGCTACTAACATAGGCGCCTTACTGAATGATTACCTATAATATTCTGGAGGTTCCTTATCATAAGTATAGTATGATATACCCCAAAACCATATTCGAATGATTAAGGGCCCCTACATTACATGCATGCTGCGACCAGTCGTTTGCACATATGCTGTTCGTATACAGGCAGAGCGCGATGGGTTCTGCAGGTTGCTCTGGTCCACTCCAACCCTAAACCCTAAACCCTAAACCCTAAACCCTAAACCCTAAACCCTAAACCCTACAACAAGCTCAAAACCCTGAACCCGAAGCCCCAAACAAGCCCTGAAACGGAAAATAGAAATTAAAACTCTTCACTCTAGATTACAGTAAGACTGGCCGTGACTCCCTGAGCTCTTAGACACCAAAAACCCAAAACCCTACCATGCCAAGCCCAAAGGCACTAAAGCCTACGACCATAAACCCTTGAGCCCCAAACCTCACTAAAGGGGCCTTAACAATTAGACTAGCGTTTTGATAAGGAACCTTCCAAACTAGTATTGCTAGCAAATCCTCACAAGCCCTCATCGAACCCTGAAGGAAATCTTTAAGAGCCCTTAAACTCTGAAGTGCGGTTTAGGGTTTAGGGTTTCATCCTAGACCCCTAAACCCTAAACCCTAAACCCTAAGCCCAAAGAAACTATTCAGCAGAGGCTCGTTTCATTCATCGACTTGAACAATGCCATCGCCAAGGGCCACTGCTGGCCCTTCTCGCAGGCGCTGATGGTTTCGGTGTAGCTGATGACGTCCGGGCTCACCTGACAAAGGAACGGGGCAAACCCTGCCCCCTCAACCCTGCACCACGTGTAAAGTCTCGGGCCATACCCCTAAACCCTAAACCCTAAACCCTAGATCTTAAACCCTAAAGCCCTAAAGCCTAAACCCTAAACCCTAAACCTTGAACCCTAAACCCTAAAACATACAGGGTCTTTGGTTCGTTCGCAGGTGCCTTTAAAACTTTAGGGAGCAAGCCGAAACCCTAAACGAGCTTTGAAAGGTACGGGGAGTTTAGGGTTTAGGGTTTAAGTTTTAGGGTTTAGGGCTTCCTGGTGCAGGGCTTTCAGTGCATGAGGGCTTAAGAAGCCCCAAGGCCTAGAGCCTAAACAGCTTAAGGATCTCATGCTTGGGTTTAGGGTTTAGGGGTTCAGGGGTTTGGGCTTTAGGGTTTAAGATTTTGGGGTGTAGGGTTTAGGGCTTAGGGTTTAGGGTTCTGGGGAGGGCCTGGCATCTCCACGCTAAAGAAACAAGTTCTTTCTTGGAGGTTCGGGGGAACAAATTCACGTGTCGTAACCCTTAGGATCCCTTGTGGAGTACTTATAGGTCTGCTTTTACCTACTTACTAGATCCCCCGGCCCTGCAAGTAAGGACACACCGTACAACAAAAAGACCCTAAACCCTAAATCCCAAGCCAAAAAGCCTCCCAATCCCTTGAAAAGCACATAGAACACATTAAAGCCTCGGCTTTAGGGCGTTTGGGCTTTAGAGCTCGGGTTTGGGTTTATGGTTTAGGGCTTACCGTTTAGGGTTTAGGCTTTAGGGTTAACCCTAAAGCCTCTTGAACCTGAATAACCCCCAGGCAGAGCTTCCTATATGACCGACTCAGAATATGAGAGCCTTCCATCGTTCTTGAAACTCCAAATGCGAAACCCCCACTCCAAATCAATGAAACCCTCTTGCAAAGACCAAAAGGCCACACCCTTGCAAAACTGGGTCGCCAGATACGAACCCAGTTACGATACCATGGTAAGAGGAAAGCATGTTACCTACTCTGTATCGCCATGGCAACTTACATGCAAGAAGAGTCTAAGGAAGGTGAAGCTCGGCTCTTTCAGAAACTCTCCCACCCCTAAACGCTAAACCCTAAACCCTAAACCCTAAACCCTAAACCTTCCACGCCTGGGCTTGGCACATGGCGTCGAAGAGGCCCACTGCAGCCTCCCACAGACCAGCCTTCTCACAGGAGCTGAGGACGGCGTTGTAGCTGATGACATCGGGGGCCAGGTTCTGAATACCTTCAGGCGACGTGAATCCCTAAACTCCCTACGCCCGAGACCTAAACTCCAAAGTCTAAGCTCAGGGTTTAGGCTTTATGGGGTTTAGCCTTTCGGGTTTAGGCTTTAGGGTGTAGGGTTTGGGGTTTAGGGTCTTTGGGCTTGGGGTTCAGTGCTTAGACGCTAAACTCGAAGACCACTTGCCGTGAACCTAGTCTATGCCTGACAAACTCATGAAATGCACGTGCACAACTCCCTTCCCCCTTATCCCGCATTGAGACATCTCCAAAAGAGGCACCCTAAACCTTAAACCCGAAACCCTAAACCTTAAAACCCTAAAGCCCTAAACCCTAAACGGCCCTAAACCCTAAAACCCTAAACCCCAAAGCCCTACTGTACACGAGACAATACTGGCCTTGCATAGAGTCGAAGAGTTGGAAAGCCAAGAGCCACCTTTGGGGTTTTAAGGTCTAGGGTTTAGGGCTTTAAGGGCTTATGGCTCAGGGCTTCGGCTTAGGGTTTGGGGTTTGGGGCTTCGGGTTTAGGAGTTTAGGGTTTATTGCTTAGGGTTTAGGGCTTTGGGTAAAAGGTTCAGGATTAGGGGGTTACCGTTTGGCATCTGGGTTGCAAGCTTTCGGGCTCTGCACGTCGGAAGCTTTGTTCAAGAGCACTCAATCCGCTGTTTCATACCTGGTCTTAGTGTCCGTAAAAACAAGGGCACATAGAGAGGCAGAGCTGTAGACTATGGTCAGTTTTTTTTGTTTATCAAAAGAAAAAGCAAGTTCTTTTTGTAGCTTAGGGTTCAGGGTTGAGGCTTTTGTAGACACTGGTCCGTTCTTTCTGGAGCTCAGGGTGTAGGACTCGGGCGGTTTGAGCTCTTTGCTGAAACCAAGCCGCTGGGAGCCCTTGGCACAGGAGCTGATGGTTGTGCTGTAGCAGATGAGGTCCGGACTCAGCCCGCCTCTGAAAATCGAGTTGAAGAGCTGAAGGGCTGGCAGCCATTGCCCTGCCTTCTCGCAGCAGCTGATGGCAGCACTGTAGCTGATGATTTGTGGGGTGAGGCCGCTCTGTAAGAGGCCGTCGAAGAGGTGAACTGCCAGCTCCCATTGACTGCCTTTCTCGCAGGAGCTGATCGTGGCGTTGTAGCTGACGACGTTCGGCGCGAGCTTTGCCGAGGGCATGGAATCGAAGAGTTGCAGAGCCAAAGGCCACTTTCCGCCCTTCTCACAGGAGCTGATCGTGGCATTGTAGCTGATGACATTGGGCTTGAGGTCGGCCTGTGACATCGAAGCGAACATCTGCAGAGCCATTTGCCAGGCACTGCTCTTCTCGCATGCGCTGATGGCAGCACTGTAACTGATCACATCGGGACTGTGGCTCCGGTGGGAGATGGAGGCGAAGAGC